GCTCCCCCCGGGTATGCTCTGTCCCGCAGGGCCCCCCCCGGGCCGGAGCCTCCTCCTGGGGTGGGGGCGCCCGCTCCTCCATCCGACTCCTGGCATCCCCCATAGCCCCCTCTCACCCCCATAGCCCCATGGGGTGCGCTGCCTCGGGGGACAGGGGTGCTCAGCCCTGGGGTGTTTGGGGCCCCCCAGGTACTCGGCTGTGGGGACCACGAGGATCCCCCGATGGTGGAGCATGGGGGTGCGACCCTGGCCAGACCCCTCAGCTGCTGCTCCTGGGGGCACCACGGCACCCACCAGCACCCATAGAGCACCCCAGCACCTATGGGACCCCAGGACAGAGGGTGTCCAGCAGGGGGAGGCCGCCCCGCACTCGCTGCTGTCTGGGGGCGCAGAGGGGTCCCTGGGGGTTCCCCCCTTGAGACCCCATTGGCACCCCGAGACCCCCAGCACCATCAGGGGGACGCCGGGGATCTCCTCTGAGTCCCACCGGCTGCTCCCAAACCCCCTGGGACTCCCCCCCCCCCAGACCTCAGATCTCCCCCAGGGACCCCCAACAGCCTCAGGGCCCCCAGATCCCCCAGGGATCCCTGAGGGGACTCTGGGTGCCGGGGGCGGGGGCTTATCGCCGTCCGCCATGGTGGGGGACCTGCGGTGGCAACGGGGAGGGGGGGGGCTCAGTGTCCCGATTGGCCCTGCGGGGACGGAGGCCCCGTTATCGCTGAGCTGGTCCCAGTTCCCATCCCGTTACCCTGTGCTAGTCCCACTTCCCGTCCCGTTATCCCTGAGCTGGTCCCAGTTCCCATCCCGTTATCCCTGAGCTGATCCCTGTTCCATTATCCCCGTACTGCTCCCAATCCCATCCCATTATCCAACGCTGGTCCCAGTCTCAGTTCCGATCCCAGTCCCGTACCGCTATCCCAGTGCTGGTCCTGCTGTCCAGGTCCTGTACCGCTGTTCCGGTCCCGGTCCCGGTCCCAGTCCCGTTGTCCCGGGCCCGAACTGGGCAGCGCCCGCCGGTAGGAGTCCCGGGTCGTTCGGCCGCTGCCGGGGCCCTGGTC